TCTGCCCTGACTTAGACCACATTGAGAGTATTGTGTTCGGTTCCAGATGTTTTCAAACGTATTTTAGAAGGATATTGACATTTTAGGGCATGTCTTAGTAGGATATCTAATATTGCATATTGATGTTTTAGGGCATGTTTTAGAAAGAGATTGAATATTGATATTCTAGGGCACATTTTAGTAGGATATTGAATATTGGATATTGATGTTTTAGGGCATGTTTGTTTTAGAAGAATATTAAATATCGGATATTGATATTTTAGGACATGTTTTAGAAGGATATTGAAAAGTTGGGACATGTCCAGAGGAGGGCAAGCAGAGTACGGAGGGGACTTGAAATTCATGCCAGGTGAAGATGATCCTTCCAAAGAGGAAATGATGGAAGGGTAGTTGAAGGCCTGTCCTACGGGGAGGGGGGGGGTACCCTCACTCCGCTTAGCCTCAAAGGTCAGATCTAAGGCCAAGGGCACACGCTACAGATGGGCAAATTTTAGCTGGACATAAGGAAAAACTTACTGGAAATTAGAGCTGTCCAAAAGGGGAAGGGCTGCTAAGTCAAGAAGGGGAGGAGTGATCTTTGAGCAGAGGCATGATCTGGAGTGGGGTGGGGCCAACTGATCTTGAGCTTCCTGGTTTTCTAAGACCTTGGTTTCTTGGGGTATAAAATAAGGGGGGGAGGGCAGACTAAATAATAATCCCTAGTATTTATATAGGGCTTTAGATACCCTGGGAGGGAGGTGCTATTATTACTCCCATTTTATAGCTGTGGTAACTGAGGTGGAGAGAGGTTAATGACTTGCCCAGGGTCACACAGCTTGTAAGTGTCTGAGGCTGGATTTGAACTCAGGTCTTCCTGACTCCAAGTGTCCTACCTACTAGGCTCCCTAGGTCCCTTCAAGCTTTCACAGTCTAGGAGTTTTAATCAAACTGTCATCACAACAATAATTTTATGCTCCAATTAAAGTGATTGTGTTTTGGAAAGTTAGATACCCTTTCCAGCTGGGGGTAGCTGGATGGTACAATGGGTACAGTCAGGAGACCTGAATCCAGTCTTGGACACTTAACAGCTGTGACCTTAGGCAAATGGCTTAACCTTTGTTTGTCTCAGTTTTCTCAGCTGTAAAATGGGGTTAATAATAGTACTTACTCAAGCCATTCCCCAATTGATAAATGGTCAAAGGATATGAACAGACAGTTCTCAGGTGATGAAGAAATTAAAGCCATCTATAGTCATTTGAAAAAAATGCTCTAAATTGTTATTGATTAGAGAAATGCAAATCAAAACAACTCTGAGGTACCACATCACACCTATCAGATTGGCCAACATGACAACACAGGAAAATGATAAATGTTGGAGAGGATGTGGGAAAATTGGAACGCTAATACATTGTTGGTGGAGTTGTGAAGTGATCCAACCATTTTGGAGAACAATTTGGAACTATGCCCAAAGGGATACAAAAATGTGCATACCCTTTGATCCAGCAATAGCACTTCTAGGGCTATATCCCAAAGAGATCAAACAAATGGGAAAAGGACCCACATGTACAAAAATATACATAGCAGCTCTTTCCTGTGGTGGCAAAGAATTGGAAATTGAGAGGATGCCCATCAACTGGGGAATGGCTGAGCAAGTTGTGGTATATGAATGTAATGGAATACTATTGTGCTATAAGAAATGATGAACAGGCTGACTTCAGAAAAACCTGGAAAGACTTATATGAACTGATGCTGAGTGAAGTGAGTAGAACCAAGAGGACTTTGTACACAATAACAGCCACGATATGCAATGACTAAGATTGTTAAACTGAACTCTTCTCAGCATTACGAGGATCTAAGACATCTCCAGAGGCCTCGGGATGGAAAATGCTGTCTACATCCAAAGAAAGAACTATGGAAGTCGAATCGCTATCACTTATTTTTACCTTCTTTCTGATGGTTCCTCTTATAGGTTTTAATTTTTACTTACAACTTCACTGATATGAAAATATGTTTAATGGGTATGTAAATGTAAAGCCTATGTCAGATTGTGCGCCGTCTTGGGGAGGGTGGGGGGGAGGAAAAGGGAGAAAAATTTTCAACTCAAAAGCATATGGGAAAAAAAATTAAAATTAAAAAAAAATAATAGTACTTACTTCCCAGAGGGTCAAACAAGATGATGACTGTAAAGCACTTAGCACAGAGCTGGACATATAGTAAGCGCTATATAAATGTTAGCTATCATCATCGTCATTATTATTCCAAATTGTGTTGATGGGAATCAACATAACAATCCAAGATTGGGACATTTTTGGTAATTTCTATCCCATAATCACACCGAAAGGGTGCACACAAGGGGGTATGATTTGCATTTAGGGCAGGGTAATTGGGGTTTATCCCCTGGATGCTTTCGTTGGGAAGAGGGGCACACCATTTCCTCCTTGCTGTCCTTAGGCCCCATGGTCTCCTCCCTTTCTCAGCTCTGGGCTGCTGTCTCCAGAAGTCTCACCATCACAGCGCCTGTCTCCCAGAGCCCACCATGCCCCCCATGATGGGTCAGGAGCCACTTAACTCTGCTATGATTGGACTCTGTGGGAGAGGGGCCACTGTTTCTCAAGGCAAGACGCCACTCAGGGAAGACTATTCTCCGTACCACACCTCCAGCTACTTTACCAAGCATAAGAATTTCTAGTTATGATCCTTTCTGTATATCCTCCTACTTGTTTTCACCCTAATTAAAATGGAGCCATTTTGGTTGGCTTATTCTAGTTTTTTAAAAAGGGAGGAGTGCTCTGGCTATGACCAAAAAAGTAATGAAAATCAATCAATCAGTTAATTAACATTTATTAAACACCTATTATATACTAGGCACTATACCAGGTGCTGAGGATAGAAATTCAATAAATAAAACCCAACCTTACCCTTAAGAAGTTTAGAATCTAACAGGAGAGACAATAGTGATATCTATTAGTATATAGAGAATAAATAAGCAAATAAATAAAGAGAATAAATAAATAAATAAATAGTATATAGAGAATAAATAAGTAGTTCACTAGGGGTAGCTAAGTGGTGCAGTGAATGGATATTGAAGAATCCAAGACCTGAGTTCAAATCTAGCCTCAAACACTTACTAGTTATGTGACCCTGGGTCACATAACTTAACTCTGTTTGCTTCAGTTTTTCATCTGTAAAATGAGCTGGAGAAGGAAATAGTAAACCACTCTAGTATCTTTGCCAAGAAAACCCCAAATGGGGTCACAGAGAGCTGGACACAACTCAACAAGAAGAAGTAGTTAAATACAAGGTAGTTTGGGGGGAAAAAAGACACTAGCAATTCAAGAGGATCAGGAAAGGCTTCAAATGGGGCTTTAGCTATATCCTGAGGAAAAGAGGGATTTTATGAGACGGAGGTGAGGAAGGGGCACATTGAGGGCATGGGAGACAGCCAGGGCAAAGAAATGGAATGGGAAGAGGCTGTGTTGTGAGTGAGGAACAGAGAACGAGCCGGTTTGGCTGGATCATTGAGCGTGGAGAAGAGAACAGTGTACAAGGCCGGAGGGCCAGGTTGGGGTCAGGTCACATAGGGCCTTAAAAGATAAACAGAGGAATTCATGTGTGCTCCTTAAGGCAATAGGAAGCCACTGTAGATGTCACACAGTCAGATCTATGCTTAAGGAAAATTGTTTTGGTGAGAGTGTGGAGAGAGATTTGAGGCAGGGATAGCCATTAGAAAGTTGATGCAATGATATAGGGAGGGGGTTAATAAAGATTTGAACTGAGGTGGCGTGAACAGAGAGAAGGAGTTACATGCCAGAGAAGTTTGGAAGGTAGAAATGGCAATAATTTTCGAATGACTGGATATGTGAAGTGAAGGAGAATGAGGAGTCCAGGATAATGTTAAACCTGGGAGAAGCGAAGAATAGTGGTGTCTTCAACAGAAGTTTGACAGAGAAAAGGGTTTTGGGGGAGAGATAATAAATTCAGTGTTGTATATATTGACTCCCTAGGATATTCACTTTGAAATGTCCAAAAGGCAATGGGTGATAAGAGATTGAAGCTAAGGGAGACATTGGGGCTCGATTTATAGACCTGGAAGTCATCAGCATAGAGGTTTTAATTAAATGTGAGAGAGATGATGAGGCCACACTAAGAGAGTGTGTAAAGACAAAAGAGTAGGGGGCCTAGAACAAGACCTTGGGGAATATCCACAGAGAAGGGAGATGAATGGATGATGAACCAGAAAAGATGACTGAAAAGGAGCAATGAGATAGATAGGAGGAAAACCAGATGGGAGGAGTATCAGGGAAGCCCAGAGAAGAGACGGTGTCCTTGAGGAGAGGATAATTAATAGTGTCAAGTGAAGCAAGTCAAGAAGGATGAGGCCTTTAAAAAGAACACCAGATTTGTTCATTAAGAGATCACTGGTAAATTTGGTGAAAGTAGTTTCACTTGAGTGAAGAAGTGGAAGGTCAAATTACAAAGGGTAAAGGAGTGAGTGATGGGTTAAACTTCTTCTCAGTTGTCTCATTGTGGTGGAGAGAAAACCTTGGATTCTTCAATGCCATGCAGAGAAAACACAAACTTTAGAAGGTCCCATCAAATAGGAAGTATTTCAACTACATGTCCAGTGATAAACCATAATTCTGTTGTTCAAGGACCAACTTTGCTAAATTCAGAGATTCATCAACAGGTTGCCTTTGGAGGGATGAATTTTCCAGCCTGTCTACCAGGTTACAGGGAGATTGCAGTCCAAGTTGGAGGAGGGAATGTCTACCCTGGGAAACTAAAGTATGATCTGTCAAACTAATTGAGGCCACATTTTATGGGGTCACCAGTCTCTAATTTCAACTGGACTCTCATCTTTATTGACTTTAGTGGTTCACCCTTTGCTTCACGGATCACGTGAAAACAATTTTGATTCATTTTTACTTCAATGAATACAAACTTCAGTTAAAGCTAAGCATTGTCTAATGACAAGATTAACTTCCCCAGGTGACTAAAGACCAAAAACTTACAGTAAGGAAGGGGAAAGTACTCTTCTAATGCAGTCTGAGTAATTGGTCTTGCCTGTTTCCTGGTATCCCTCAGAACCTAGAAAGAAAAAAAGTGAAATTTAACAAAACCCATGATCTTTCCCCCCCATAATATTTTTTTCTTAGAGAACAAGAATAACTTTATCAGCTCATTTTATCCATTTATTTGTTTACTTATACAAATATTCTCCCAATAAGAAAAATTCATGCAAAAGAAACAATTAAGTATAACATTTTAATGTGACTTTTCCAAGCTTCCTCTCTTCACTGGATGTAGAGAACTTTGAATTCTATGTTTCATTCAGCATTAACAATAATAGTAATAGCTAATGTTTACATAGCACTTTAAGGTATGCAAAGAATTTTCATATACTTTCTCATTCAATCTTCACAGCATCCCTTAGAGGTGGAGGTTTTTATTATCCTTATTTCTCTGATGAAGAAAGTGAGGCTCAGAGAGGCTTGCCCAGGGTCCCACAGCTTGTGAGAGTCTGAGGTGGAATGTGAACTCAGGTTTTCCTGACTCCAAGTCCAGTAGTGCTCCATCCACTGTGCCCTGTAGCTGCTATTCTTTCTGACATACGGCACAGTTGCCAACATTTTAGCTCATTGTTTATTTTTATTATTTATTATTATATATTATGTTTATTATTATACATTATTATACATTATGTTTATTCTATATTATTCTATATGTGTTATTGCATATTGTTATTTATTAAAATATTATTTATTATTATTGTTTAAGAGGGCTCATATCTCTTGCAGAACAAGTCAGTTTGAACAGGAAACTTTACAAGGTTTTAAACAGAAAACTTAATAGTGTTTTAAACCAGGGACAGAAAGTGGTTTCCTCACACTGACTGAGAAGAGAGAGAATCTGCCGCCACAGGGTGAGGGGGTGGGGAGGGGTGGGGGGGTAGAACAAATGGTCTGATTGTAATGCTGAAGACTAGAAGGGCTACTAAAAAGCTGCCATCACGGAGAGGAAACAAAGATTGCTCTTCTTAATCCTAACCTCTAACCCTGAACCATTCTCATGCTAACTTCTACAGAAGCAAAAAATGTCAGATATCACCTTTTGATATGAAACTACTAGTTGAGATTCATACTTCAACCATAAAGTAACCATAGCTTCTGAAGACTCAATTTTCATTCATTAAAAAAAAAAAGTAGGCCAATCAGATGATGCTAGGGGCAGAAAAGATGTCTCTCCCCACCCTCTGGACGTAATGTTTTAAACTTATGTAGAGGGCAAAAAGAAATTTAATGTACAGACAGCCAACTCTTACGACTGTCCTGAATTACTTCGATGAGGAAAAAAATTAATCTTTCTGAAGCTGTTGCTTTAAAGTGGAGTTTTAAAGATCCAGTTCTTCAAGCATGCACAGTAGACTATGGCTTTTCTGAACTTCTCTGATTTGAGTGTGTCCATAATGGACACACCCCTCTCACTGTTCCTCTACAAGAACCATCTGCTCCAGGCAAACGGTGTATTTATAATAAGGACGATGTTGATGACAGCTCACATTCAATAGCACTTGGTAACTTTCAGAGGTCTTTCCTCACAACTCTGGTGAATAGATAATAGATGTGCTATTATCTCCATTTTACAGATGATGAAATGAAAGACCTGGGATAGGACAGTCAGGATTTCCCATTTATCCTGTGCTTCATCACACAGCTAGGCTTGATTTCAAATGCTTTTGTCAGTTACATGTGTATTGCAAAATGGCTGATTGTTCTGGCACAGTCTGGAATGAGCAGAATGAGCATTGGATTTAGAATCAGGGGCCCTAGGTTCAAGTTCCCTACCTATACAGCATCTTGTTGAGCCACCTGGACAGGCATCTGGTCCTCCTCCCTTCCGGGTACCATATGCTCCATGACCATAAGGCTGGGTCTCTAGGATCTCTCCTCTGGGTCTGGGTCTTCTTCTTTTCCAGCTTCTGTCCTTGTTCTGACCCTGCAACCACTGAAGAAACTTGCCCAGGCTCCCAGCTCATTGACTAAGCTGATATGACAGATATACCCCAGGGCCAATGAATAAGGGACAGCTGTCACTGCTCTCAGATGTTGGCACCAGCCCCATCTGAGTTCTCAGACTCAGTTCATCATGGATTGTGGTTTCCCCTCCCCTTACACATATAAAACACTGAGTAAATCTTAAAGGGCTAGACAAATGGCACCTAGATGCTACATGGTACAGTGTCCTGAGATTGGAGTCAGAAAGGCCTGAGTTCAAATCCTATCTCCAGCACTTGTTAGCTGTGTGACCCTGGACAAGTTCTACGACTTGTTTCTATTAAGTCAGCAAGCATTTATTAAGCATTTACAATGTGGCAGGCACTGTGCTAAGCACTGGGGTTACAAAGAAAGATAAAAGACAATCCTTGCTCTCAAGGAAGACACAATCTAATGGGGAGAGAACATGCAAACAACTACATACAAGCAACATATATACAGAATCAATTGGAGATAATGTCAGAGGGAAGAAACTAGCATTAAGGGGGATTCTTATAAAATGTGAGACTGTCGCTGAGACCTAAAGGAAGCCAAGAGGCAAGGTGAGGAGGGGAAGAATCCAATGAAGATGCCCAGATTCTGCAGATGGAGTGTATGTGTGAAGAACAAAAAGGCAGCCAGTGTCAACGAATCAAAAGTTATATGGAAGGGAGTAAGATATAAGAAGAATGGAAAAGTAGGAGGGGCCAAGTTACAAAGAGCTTTAAAAGCCAAAACAGAAGATTTATATTTGATCATGGAGGTAATAAGAAGTTACTGGAGTTCATTGAATAGGTGGGTGACTTGGTCCTATCTGCTCTTTAGGAAGACCAAATTGACAGCTGAATGGAAGATAGACTCGGGTGGGGAGAGATTTGAGGCAAGGAAACTAACCAGAAGGTTATTTCAAGTGTCTAGGTATGAGGTGCCCCACACGAGAGTGGTGGCAATGCCAGAGCAAAGGAGGAGACATATACAAGAGATGTTGTAAAGGAAAAATTGACAAGACTTCATTACCGATTATACATGGAAGATGAGAGACTGAAAAGTTGAGGATGACACCTAGGTTGCCCTCCCAGGGACTGGGAAGATGGCATGTCCTTGACAGTAATAGAAAAGTTACGAATAGAGGAGGTTTGAGGGGAAATATAATGAGTTCACTTTAGGACATGTGGAGTTTAAGATGTCTATGAGATATCCAGTTGGAGACGTCCATTAGACAGTTTAGAGATATGAGCCTAGAGGTCATGAGAGAGGTCAGGGATGTATAAATAGATCTGAGAGTCATCTGCATAGAGATGATAATTGAATCCATGAGAGCTGATGAAATCACCAAGCATAATAGTATGGAGTGAGAAGAGAAAGGGTCTAGGGGAATATTTATGGTTAATGGGCAGAGTTTGGATAATGATACCATAAAGAAGACTGAGAAGGAGCAGTCAGACAAATAGGATGAGAACCAGGAGAGAGTAGTGTCCCAAAAACCTGGAGACAAGGGAGTATCAAGAAGGAGAGGGTGATCAACAGTGTCAAAAATCTGTTTAACACAGTGTCTGGCACATAGCAGGTGCTTAAAAATGTTTATTGATTGGTTGATTGAAAGTCTGTAGGAGGTCAAGAAGGATGAAGAATAAGAGAAAACCATCACAAGTAAAATGAAGGAGGTATGGCTAGATGACAATTCATCTGAAAAGTTCTAAGGGTTTTAGTAGACTACAATATGGGTCAACAGCACAACATGAAAGCCAAAAACTAATACAGCTTTAAGCTGCACTGAGAGAGGTATAGGGTCCAGAAGAGAGAGGTAATAATCTAGCTGTATTCTGACTTAGACAATATCTGGAGTTTGGTGTTCTGCTTGGGGTACTCCATTTTGGGAGGGGCATTGATAACCCAGTGGGTTTCTAGAGAAGGGTAACCAGTGTTGTGAGGAGACTCAAGATCATACTTCATGAGGACTTGTTGAAAGCCCTAGAAATGTTTAGCCTGAAGAAGAACAGAACTGGAGGTAGGATGAAGGGGGTGGGGGACATTCCATAGCTCTTTAAGTGTTTGAAGGACTATGGAGTAAAAGAAGGACTCTACTTGTTGGGTGAGGTTCCAGAGGGCAGGCTTTGACTCCACAAAAGGAAGAACTTCTTAACAAAGAGAGCTATACAAGAGTGGAAGGGGTTGAGTCTCCAAGTACTCAAGTACTTGAGTACTTTTGGAGGATACATTACAGGGAGTCTTGTCTAGACATCTATGTAGACTAGATGATGCATAAGTGCCCTTCTACTTCATAGAATTTCTAGTTTTCTTGTTCTTCTACTTTCTACTTGCAACCTAAATTTCAAAAGTTTATTTGGGTGAGAAAAAGTCCATTGAGCCTTTAAAATTTTTTTTACTAGGTATGTATAAAGAGGCATTGGATAAGCCCCTTCCCCTTCCTGTATGAGGATTCTTGGGGTACACATGAAAGGGGTGAGCTGCCTCAGCTCAGGAAGGGGTTGGCCATATGGAGCCAGAAGCACATGAGATAGAGGTAACAGGCTATATGCAGACCCAGAGAGACTCTTACACTTAAGGCTGCTGCATTCTTACAAACCTTGGACAAGTAGGATCCTACAACAGATGGGACTGCCCAACTAGGAATACCAAACTAGGGAGAAAGGTCAGAACAGCAGGGGATAGTGGGACAGAGGAGAGGAGGGGAGAGGCAGAATTTAAAAGAAAGAGGGCATAGTGATGACATAAAGGTTTAAACCCAGACCTTGTGGTCCAGCAGAAAGAGTATTTAGAGTCAAGATCTGACTTCAAATCCTAGAATTGCTATTTACTACCTTTGTGGCCTTGAGCAAGTCACTTGACTTCTTCCGGGCATCAGCCTGATAATCTGTTACATAAGGCATTGAACTAGGTGACCTCTGAGCTGTCTCTTCCTGCTCCCACACCTCGCTTCAGCTGGGATCTACGAACTCCATAATCCTAGGATCTTTGCCCTTTGCTATTACTGTGTCGTACGGACCATGCAGGTGCCAGGTAAGGAAGATTGATTCTGCTGAATCCCAACCT